TTTTTATATAAATATGTTTGTTTTGTTTTTTAGCCATTTTACTTTATTTTTATTTTTATATTTTTATTGTTTATTTGAAAATCAGGAGAAACGAAAACAACCCTTTGTGTTAACAACAACAACAACAACAACAACAACAACAACATCGTTTTCTGTAAAAAAGGAAATAAAATTAGAAAATAAAAGTTAACTTCTAGAATAACAAATGAAACTGCTTTAACAGTAAGTGGACTCTGTTATCCTAACTGTATATTTATATTTATATTTGTGTATATATTATTTATATTTGTGTATATATTATTTATATTTGTGTATATATTATTTATATTTGTGTATATATAATTTATATTTGTGTGTATATATATATATATATATATATATATTTGTGTATATATATATATTTGTGTATATATATATTTGTGTATATATATATATTTGTGTATATATATTTGTGTATATATATTTGTGTATATATATATTTGTGTGTATATATATATTTGTGTATATATCTCTCTTGAATCCAAAAAGCAGTTTTTCACAGTTAAACTGAAGGATTGAGGGCAGCTGCTGCTTCGACTGCACGATGGTTTTTGTTTGATAACGACGACTTATAAGATGGTTTCTATACTGATTAGAGCTCTCAAGAACTGCCCTCAATGTTGTGCTTTGCCTCTGGTCACTTCCTGTCAGCACCTGTGTGTCCAATCAGACTCAAAGCTGATCGTTTGCTCTTACTCACATTGTTCCCTTTTTTCTAGATCCTTGCTTGTGTTGTTCTTACTCTCTGATGTACGTCGCTTTGGATAAAAGAGTCTGCTAAGAGAATTGTAGAATCAGAATGTTTTGTAAGCAAAGACAGGATAACCGGGTTTACATCCAGTTTGGATGTAAACCCAACATTTCAACATGTTAAATAAGTTTTGTAGTCGTTATGAATCCAAACATCGTAAACCAAAGGTGTTGATTGTTTATCCATTCTAACACAAACAGTCTGTGCTCTGTTTCATTATTTGCTGCAGGTTATTGTTTCACTTGACTCACCCCCCCCCCCCGTGTTTTTTCTGCTCCTATTTTAGTCTCTTGTAGAACCCACCGTCAGAATGGCAGATGCTGAGACACTCCTCATGGAAACATCAGACCAGAACGGAAACGAGGGAGAGGAGGACCAGAACGGAGCCGAGCTGGAGCAGGAGCAAGAGCTGGAGCAGGAGTTGGAGCAGGAGTGTGAGCAGGATCAGGAGCTTGAGCAGGAGCAGGACCAGGAGCAGGAACAAGAGCTGATGGCGGGTGACGAAAGCCAGGAAGGCACAGACAATGGCACCGATGGCGGCAAGATTGATGCCAGCAAGGGCGAGGAGGATGCAGGGTGAGGTCTTATTTTAGGACCGGTCAGTGTTTCGTGTCCTGATATGGAAGAGTGATGCATGTGCTAAAAAGCTTAATTATTTTAAGGTGTTTGATTACAGCGAAGGAAGAAATAATATGATTTTGTGTTTTCAGAAAAATGTTTGTGGGCGGCCTCAGCTGGGACACGAGTAAAAAGGACCTGAAGGATTACTTCAGTAAATTCGGCGAGGTGTTGGACTGCACCATCAAGATAGACTCCAACACCGGCCGATCACGAGGCTTCGGCTTCGTTCTCTTCAAGGACTCCTCCAGCGTCGACAAGGTGAGTCACTGTGGTTACCTCATACCTGTTAATGTCAGACTGGTCATCAGGGTTCATATGTGAAGATGAGGCAGAGCTGCTAATTTGTATCGAGCAGGGACGTTATCCTTGATGGGTAACTCTAGCAGCATCGTACAAAACGGCATATAAACGTACGCTACTCAATTGTAGATACATCTTAAGTTCTGCAGGACTTAGACGGGGCAGAAACACAACTACTACTACAAACGTGCACATTTTTGTGAATTGATCTAATCGATGCATTAGTGTGAGACTGCTCCATATAAAAACGATAAGATTGTGGTCAAAAGGTTCCAGAAAAGACAAATTGGGGCGTGCATGAGTTCTGGCAGAGACCCCAAGTCTTCTCTAACCCCCTTACCCGATGGTGCCAACTCTTTAGAAAGTAAACAGTGTTTGTTCTTGCTGAAAATCCCAGATATTTTAAATTAATATAATTTGTAGGCAGTGTATTTCTAGCATTTTTCAAAAGCTAGACTACCTGTTTATAAATTGAGGTTTAGGGGCGCATGTAGCCTAGCGGTTAGTGTATGTGCTCCATGCATGGAGGCTGTGGTCCTCGTTAGTTGGCAGTCCAGGTTTAGAATCCAACCTGTGGCTCCTTTACCCGTCATGTCAGTTTCCATTCTCCCTCTCGCTTCCCTGATTTCTGACTGTTATCTAATGTCCTCACTCTCTAATAAAAGCCTCAAAAAATGAATATTAAAAAGTTGAAGGCTCCTCTTGTTGTGACATCTGTAGTTATCGTAGTAAGTAAACACTTAAAGTAGTCTTGTTGAAAGAATGATTGGATTTTGCTGCCTGCTGTTAATAGTTTCCAAACTGTTGTAGAAAGTTTGCACAGGTTTAGATCACTAGCAGTAACTATGGTAACAGTTTTAACCTAACACATGTGTGCGTCTACAGGTCCTGGCACAGAAGGAACACGGTCTCGACGGACGTACGATCGACCCCAAGAGGGCGATGGCCATGAAGAAGGAGCCTGTCAAGAAGATCTTTGTCGGGGGTTTGAACCCTGAGGCGACTGAGGAAGCCATCAGGGAATACTTCGGGGCTTTTGGAGAGGTGCATTTCGAGGGGGAAAAGATTGCCTGGCCCCCTACATGTGGAAACCATTTTTACTCATGTGAAACAAGACGTCGCTGCTTTTCTCTCTAAACCATCTGTCTTTTCTGCTCCTCTTAGATCGAAACCATCGAACTCCCCATCGACCCTAAATCAAAGAAAAGGAGGGGTTTCATCTTCATCACATACAAAGACGAAGCCAGCGTCAAGAAGTGTCTGGAGAAGAAGTTCCACAGCATCCAGGGCGGCAGGGTAACTACACTTGACACTTAACAAGTCTGTCACATCTGCTCTCTGCTGCCGTGAAAACACTCGAATCATATCACTGTCACATCTTAATGTGCACAAGATGTCCCTCCACTTGCTCAGTGACAACAGATATACATCACTACTGACATGTGTTCATGCTACCGATCTATGACCATCAATTAATGACTAAAATGCGATTACATTCCTCGCATGATTTCACTTGAGCTCTGACTTCTGCGAGAGGTTTCTAAGAATTTATTGTGCAGCCCCTCTGAGTTTTTTAAATGTTTTGTTTGTTTCCTCTTCATAGTGTGAGCTGAAGATCGCCCAGCCAAAGGAGGTTTACCAGCAGCAGCAGTACGGAGGGGGACGTGGTGGTGGCGGTTACGGCGGAGGAAGAGGAGGCAGAGGAGGCCGTGGAGGTAAGAGGAGCATCTGAAGCGTTCTGGTTAAACGCAGGAGGCAATGTGAAGTTTCTTATCAGTGAAGCGATGGATCACTGATTGGATGGTTTCTGATTGACAGCAAATCAAAATGAATCTCAACATGTGTCCCAATCTTCCTCAGTTATTTGAATAATAAAACCATCAGTTAGGTTAACGTGAACCATCAGGGACGTCAACTTTAAAAACAATGAAAGTCTTTCTGTTTGCCGTGGTCTACCAGAACACCAGTGCAGGCTGTTCATTTAGCGTACGCATGTTTGTGCGTTGGCTGCAGCTGAGATGGCAGACACAGAACGGAGCGTGCATTTATGGGCTATGGCTTCTGACCCAACACAGCGCCCTGTACCAGATTTAAAGTTTGCAGCTTCAGAGTACTGCAATCAGGTTTCAGGACAAAAACTGTGCACACCTGAATGTATGACAGGTGTGTCGGAGGAGGGTAAAACTTAAAGGTTTATGTTGACATTCATTTGATAGAACAACATTTCAGGCTAACCGACCTTCATCAGGTCAAATAAATGTGTCTTCATAAAGCGAGATGTGCAGGAGCCTGATTGTTTTCACTCGTAACCACCAGCTGATGATAAATACACATAATGAAATATCACCACTTGACAAAGTGTGTCTGACATCATGGTAAAGGTCAAAGGTTAGTTTTTACATATACAGGGGAAAGTAGAGATGTTTAATGTGTGAGAAATATCCCTCATGTGAACCCTGTATGTCCCAGGTCAGAGCCAGGGCTGGAACCAGGGATACGGAAACTACTGGAACCAGGGCTATGGTAACCAAGGCTACGGCTACGGAGGATACAGCGGCTACGGCAACTACGACTACGCATCTGGTTATTACGGATATGGTGCCGGATATGATTACAGTAAGTTCACATGTTAGTGGATCACATGGGACCAGATCGTCGTGGATAATTTCAAAACCAAGCACGAGTTGGAGGCGTTTCCATAGCAACCTTTAAGGAGATCTGTTCATCTGATCCATATTTTTCAAAACGCACACACATGTTGAGATGTCCGTACCAAAAACACAAGATACACAGTTGTTGTAGGAGTCCCGACCCAGACACTCACTGAAAACAGAGCCGGCCAATCAGAGGAGGGTCCAGGCAGAGGCTGAAATGAGGGATTTAAGTGACGCCAGTTTCACATAACTACGGGTTGTTTTGAGCTACACATCTCGCAACGCTAATATATTAAAGTGAGTTTAATAAATCTCCTTTTTAAATAAGTTATGTTAGGAATAATGTACGACCTCATGCAGACTGTTTCATGACGGGCTTCCAGCTGGTAACCTGTTTGAAACTCACCACACATGCTGCTTCTTTACACGTTTGTAGTTGTAAAGATGTTTAACTCTAACCCTGCTAGTCGCCGTGCTGAGCTGACCATGTCTCTGTGCCACCGCTTCAGATGGGATGATAAAAACATCCTTTATGTGGGAGAGTGACGCTTTAATCTTCTGCCTGTTAGGAAGTGGAAATACATTTGACAACAGCCGGCCAGTTTCAAGAACTTTGTCCTCAAACATTTTTTGCAGTCACATTGTTCTTTTTAAGCCGACTGTCTTAAAGCAGCAGAAGTCACGACTTGTTTACCTTTTTTTAAGCCTAACCCTAATTCAAACTTGGGTAAGCAGCACTTTACTGATATGTAATTATTGTTGATGCTTAGCAAGAGAAGTGTGCAGGATCTTTTTTCTTTACAGTTTGGCCGTTTGATGTCCTACGTACCAACATCACCAGATTACGATCACGTCAAGCCCCACCCCCTTTCCCCCCTCACACAGGCCCACGACGTTCCACTTGTTTCTGTACGAGTCCCTCTGTGTTCAGTAGTACGCTCCTGTAGCTCTTGAGTCAGGTCCCGGGGGGGGGGGTCTGGAGATTTAAACTCTGCTGTCTTTGCTGCATGCTGACGGACTAACTGACTGAATGTGAACCTGTCTGTCCCCTCTGTACAGCAGACCAAGGCAATGCCAGCTACGGTAAAACCCCTCGACGGGGGCAACATCAGATCAACTACAAGCCATACTGATGATCACGTGGTAGTTCAAGGTATGATCATTACCCTCCTTTGCATACATTCATGATCTGTGTGAGCAGAGGGCGGAGTTAAACGTTTAGAGCCAGTCCGTCTGAACGTTCATATCCAATACATAGAAGACACCAACTATATCCAATCATTGAAACCGATAGAAACACAGGGGTCTGACTCTCCCACTTCTTCACAAACTACACAAACCCAAAGGGCTACCCGGCCTTCAGCCACATGTTCCTAACAGAGATATTTATAACTCTTAACGGGACTTCACACACTTATTAAAACTCCCACCTGTCGGGCGAGAGACCCTCCCTACTGTGCACGCTAAAGGAAACGTTTTCAGTCATAGTTTCTGTCACCACAAGCAATACTGGTGAGAGGTTTTCTCACTCCCTGATACCTGATACCGATACATCAGCCGATATCTTTGTTAGCTACATATAAACATTTATTGCGTCCATCCCTCAGATGGAGTTATAAACACTTGTGGAAAAGATTTACAACAAAGACAAGACGGTCACTCAGCTGGAGAGTGCATGTACGTGCGTCACCGCTTCACACTCTGCAGAGTGATTATGCTTGTTATAGTGTGTGTGTGTGTGTGTGTGTATATATGTATTTATTTATTTAGGGTAAGAATCGAGTAATATCTGCGATAAAATAGCGGATACAGAGACACCGGATATGCTAACATCGGCTGATATTATTGTGTTTGTGATGAATCGGTCAGGCTCTAGTTTGATTGGTGACGTCGATGGGCGCAGACAGTACTGTGTAAATTGGTTCAATAATGGACTGATATTAGATCAATCTGTCAGATCTCTTCAAAAATAAAGGACTATTTCAATCACTTACACAAAGTATTCCCAGTAGGCGGCTAACGGCTAATCGCTTCTCTTACTTGACATCAGTTCCTGAAGACGAGGGGTCATAAAAATCAACAGATTTTTATAGAAAGATTCAGACAAAGCGATTCTGTGCAGGAGAAGTGACTGAGTTTTTTTCATTTGGTTCCTCCCTCAGACCTCCAGTGATCCCGTGAGACCACCAGCTGGACGGACACACTGGGCATGACTCGACCTCTTTTATGACAGAAGACCATTTGTACAGAAAACATCTGAAATGTAACTTTTTTCCTTTTCTTTTTTTTTTATCCTCTTCATTTTTAGGTTTTACTTTTTCCCCTTTGGTGTTTTTTTGTTTTTGTTTTGTTGTTTTTTTTTTTCCCCCTTCCCTTCCACATTTCCATCGATGGAAGTGTAATTTTTACTGTACTTTTTGGTACCTGTTTTGATTCTAATGTATTGTAAGGCTTGTATTTTACATGTTTGCTGGCTTTACAGCTTGAAAATCTTGGCGCTGTAAAGGAGCTTTTTTTGACAAATAAAAACAGTTTTCAGTAACTTTTTTTTTTCTGTTGAGTTTCCAGGTTCTGGGGTTGAAGAGTGAAACAAATGTTGAGGATTAAATTTAATTTTCAACATTAATTTCTTGGCTTTTTGCAGCCACACAATCCGGTAATGTGTAAAATTATGAGAAGTTGTCTCCATCACTAAATTGTGTTCACCATGCCCACACATGAATTAATTGGTCCCCCCCCCCCCCCGTCTTTATGTGGAATCAAGTGATAATTTTAAGTAGTTAATGATCCTGAAAACTGAAACGATGGTCTGCAAGCTTCTTCCTTTCAGGGCGTTTTGCAGGGAGTGTGGGATGTAAGAGGGAAAACATGATAAAGACGACGCGTAAAATGTGGACTCCCTGTTAAATCTCCACCTTTTTTTTATTTTTTAAATTTGTTAAGTTTTCATGCTCGTTAGTTTGTGTTCTTTCGCTGGTTTTTAGAAATAACTGCTCTGAAGTTAAGATGTCTGCTTAGGTTGTTTGTTTTTTTGTTTTTGTTTTTTTTTTTCTCTCTGGTCTGACTTCAGGTCCCTGGAGTCTCCTCAGATAGTGTCTCTGGCAATTTATTAGTAATAAACATTCTGGTTTGTAAGGATCTGTGTATTTCTAATGATTAATGTTACTGTTAAAATGTGATCAAGTCCCTAAACGCAGAAGCGCTGCGGTAACTTAAATCAACAACCGATTTCCTAAAATGTCAGGTTCTTGAATACGAGGGTTTCTAGTCACTCTTTTACGCCGTCCCGTTCCTCAACTTGTCCGTAAAGCACGTGCATCCTGAAATCAGAAGGACGGAAACTAGACGAGGCCTCAGGATCCACAGCTGTTTGACGTCGACGCATCCTGGAGGTGAAACCGACGAACACGGAGATTCACTTTCTGCTTCAAATGTTTTTAACCCTACCTCTGGAAATACTTTGAGTCTGTGCATCCAGGGCCGGGTCAAGACTTTTTGTTGACTGGTGACCCAACTGGAGCTCGGACCCGTGCATGGGTCAGTCTGAGGTGTGATATGCACTGATTTACCTTTTCACCACTCGCATCTACTTTATCACCAGAGAGTGGAAACATGACACATATATTTCTGTTGCATTCCAAGTCCTGCACAATCCAACTTATGAAAAACAACATTAATTGGTAACGTCTTGGTCCCGGGATGTTGCCAGTTAGTTTACTGCAAGCAAGTCCCACCTCTGACAGGCCAAAGAGCCAATCACAGTGTAGGATTTTTGGGGCGGCATCTGGAGTGGACAATCAGATTTTAAAGGGGGGCTAAGCCACCCTCTTGGACGCTCCTTTGTTACTGATATCTCGACACGCACAACACAAAGACAGGAAACATTAAAATGTATAAAATCTGCATTAAAAAAAAGACAATGTGGGAGATCCAGATTTTAAAGACATTCAATGAAATCAAAACAATTGAACTGACCGTAAAGTTGCACCACCAAACGAAGCTACGATCACACCAGCTTAGAGACATATTTATTTAATTTAAACAAAGCCGGTGTTTGAGTAGAGTAGATTAGAGAACTTCATTAAACCTCATGCACACAACAATCAGAATACAATCAGTGTTTAATAAGTAAATAATTAAACACAATTCTAACCGTGAAATAATTTACAATCATGAGTCAGAGACACGACTACAAATGTTCATTACAATGAAGGATGATCCTTTAGGCAAATTAAAGATATAAGGAGCATAGACACTGAATGCTTCTCCATGTTTGGGTCTGACTCTGGACACAGGAAGCAGAACCTGTACCAGACGACCTGAGCGGTCTGGATGGTTCATATATAATCAGAAGGTCACTGATGTATTTGGGACCTGAACCAGTAGTTCCCAACCTTTTTTTGGCCTTTGACCCGACTTCACAAAACTCTGGGGACCCCAGACATCCAAAACACAAACAGCTTTTTACACACAAAGTCTAGTTCAGGTATGTGATTGTTTCCAGGGAGATAAAGGAGATCTGAGCACGGTATGTACAGCCAGGTGAGTATTTAAGATTAAAGCATGGACACGTTTTCCAGGTCCTGCTGCGACATAAATCCTCTTATTGTTGATATCATCTTCAGGTGATAGAAGACGGACTTTGAATTTCACTGACTGAAGCTGCGTGTTGACTCTTATCGTTCATCCTCGGCTCAAAAAACACCTTCAGGCAAGACCAGGTGCACTCCTCAATTCTGAAGTGAACCACCAGAGGGCGCCCTCTGTCACATTTAATCTCAAAGAATTTGAGACAATATAAGCAAACTTCAGGTAGTTAGTGTAATCTGTAAAGTCCTTTATGGGCTCAGTTATTACGCAGGCCTCAGTCTTCTTGTCGTACCACCTGTGTTTGCTTTCCTGCTGTGAAAACCAAAGTTTGTCCATGAAATTAACAGAAAAATTAAGAGAAATAATCCGTCTACAGGAGAAAGAGAACGAGAGGAAAAAAGAGGACGAGGAGTAAGCATTTCCTCCACATTTTGTGTTTATTCTCCAAATTTGAACCTTTTTTTTTGGAAATTTTATTTCAACATGTCACCTTTTAGTTCTTACTTTTCGCTTTATAAATTCTTAAATTCAAAGTGTGAAGTGTTTCGGTGTGTGCATTTTCTATGGGTCGTATATTTTGACTCACAACAGCCATAGACTGTAAATACAACCCATCAATTTTGTGTGTCCTTCAGAATGTAAGGAGCACACTGATTGGATGGTTTTTGGTCACGTGTTTTTCACCACTTCCTCGTTAGTATAGTGGACAGTATCTCCAGCTGTAGAGGACAAATCCACGAACCGGAGGCGCTTCAGGTTTGAGCAGGTTCAAATCCAGCTCGACCCCCAAAAAGAAATCCAATATTTGGACCAGAATGATTCATTACATTGTACATAAGAAAGTGAAATGCATCCACCTGTTGTGGAACAAATCATGAGGAAAGATAAGATTAAATAATGTTACTATTAAATGTAATAGTTATAATAAACTATGTCTTGTCTATAAACAAATTCTTCATAAAAGATGCTTCAGGTTACATTAAATTGATATCATGTAAATGAAAATGACCTGAAATGTACAAGAAGAGTCCCTGAGTAAATTAAGTGAGTTTATTTTCACTTCCAATATCAAGAAAAGACAGCAAAACAGAAATGCCTTCACAATATTTTATTATACACAATGATAAACACAACTAAATATATGACAGAATAAATAAACGTCTGTGCATTGATGAATCTTTACGGTAAGTATGAGGTGTTGTATAATTGTAAAAATGTATCTGTTGTTATTTTATCTTATAACTGTATATTGTTATAGTTAATGCAGTTAGATATGCTGTAAATAGACATATATCATTTTCAATAACTTGTTTACTCTTCTTCTAAACTGTCTCAACAGCTGCAATAACAAGTGTCTTATTATAAAAAAACAGCAGTTCTCCAGTTAGGAATTATTCTGGATTGAAGAGAGACACACGTCACAAACACGGGGACAGCAGAAGACACTGGAACAGTAAGTTAGAGCTGATATGGAATATTTTTTAGCTTACACACTTCATGTCTAACACCGCACCGTCTCCCGTTACCCAGCATTTTCCTCGCTAATGTGCGGTCTTTGGTGAACAAAATGGACGAGTTATGACTTCGCATCATCCACAGCAAGAGAATTATGGACTGTAATGTCATGATCTTCACGGAAACATGGCTAAACAACGGAGTACCGGACGATGCTATCAAGCTAGCCGGTCGCCACACACACCGAGCAGACAGAACAGCAGAGGACTCCGGTAAGACCAGAGGAGGAGGGCTGTGCATTTATATTAACAAAGCTTGGTGTACAGACTCTGTCACTGTTGGGAGACACTGCTCAGCTAACATAGAGTTTCTCATGGTTAAATGTAGACCTTTCTATCAGCCAAGGGAGCTCAGCTCCACTATTGTAACTGCAGCCTACATCCCCCCTGATGCCGATGCTAAAGCTGCCATGAAGGAACTTTACACCGCTATCAGTAAACAACAGACTGCTCACCCGGAGGCTGCATTTATAGTTGCAGGTGATTTTAATCACTCAAACTTAAAGACAGTGCTCCCTAAATTTCACCAGCATGTTTCCTGCAATACAAGAGGAAACAAAACTCTGGGCCATGTTTACACAAACATCGCAGGAGCCTACACCACGACCCCCCTCCCCCACCTGGGACAGTCAGACCACCTTTCTTTGTTCCTCATCCCCAAGTACTCCCCACTCATCCAACGTGTGAAGCCATCAGTAACAACGATTAAAGTGTGGCCAGCGGGGACAGACTCTGTACTTCAGGACAAGTTCCATCACACAGACTGGAGTATGTTTGCTTCTCAGGTTACCTCGGGCTCTCACACAGACATTGACACCTACACTTCTTCTGTGCTGGATTATATCAACACCACCATCGACAGTGTTACAACATGGAAGCAGATCACCACGTACCCAAATCAGAAGCCATGGATGAACAAGGAGGTGCGTCTCCTGCTGAAGGCCCGCAACACCGCCTTCAGATCAGATGATGCAATGGCCTACAGCGTATCCAGGGCAAACCTGGATACGCTGGCCATCATCAAGGCCAAGCACTGCTACAAGCTGAAGGTAGAGGAACACTTCTCCAACTCCGACCCCAGACGCATGTGGCAGGGCATCCAGGCCATCAGTGACTATAAACCCAGAAACTCCACCCCGATAACCACAGATGTCTCCTTCCTGAACGAGCTAAATCACTTTTATGCTCGTTTCGATAGAGACAACAGAGAGACACAGACCACGACCAGACCTCCTGCAGACAACCAGCCCCTCTCACTCACCTCCACAGACGTCCACGCTGCACTGAGCCGGATCAACGCTCGAAAGGCTGCTGGTCCAGACGGCACCCCCGGGCGCGTGCTTAGAGCATGTGCGGAGCAGCTCACTGGGGTTTTTACGGACATCTTCAACCTGTCCCTCGCCCAAGCAGCTGTGCCAGCATGCTTCAAAGCCACCTCCATTGTCCCAGTGCCGAAACACTCCAGCCCGACAGGCCTGAACGACTACCGCCCTGTAGCACTCACACCCATCATAATGAAGTGCTTTGAGCGACTGGTCCTAGCACACCTGAAAAACTGCCTCCCACCCACACTGGACCCATTCCAGTTTGCCTACCGCAGCAATAGGAGTACAGAGGATGCAGTCTCCACTGCGCTGCACTCTGTGCTCACTCATCTGGACAATAACAACACATACGCACGAATGCTGTTTGTTGATTTTAGCTCAGCATTCAACTCTGTCATCCCCTCCAAGTTAAACACTAAACTCGGAGACCTGGGCTTCAACACCTCCCTCCGTCACTGGATAATGGACTTTCTGACCAACAGACCCCAGTATGTTAGGTCAGGACACACCTGCTCCACCACCATCACACTCAACACAGGCGTACCACAGGGCTGTGTGCTGAGCCCATTCCTCTACTCCCTCTTCACCCACGACTGCAGACCTGTACATGGATCCAACACCATCATCAAGTTTGCGGACGATACAGCGGTGATTGGCCTCATCAGCAACAACGATGACACGGCCTACAGGGAGGAGGTACAGCATC